CTTAAAGGCCGATTTAAACACCAGTTTTTGAGTATTTTTGCTTTTTTCTCTTTTTTTCTTCTTGCACACGTGTTTTGGTTTGACGTCGGACTGATCCGGGACGATCGAAATTTACGAATTCCGATTGGCCATTTTCTATGCGCCACGTCACGTTACTGCAAAAGTGTCTAGACCCCTGGCGGGGCTTATAATTGACAGTGGTAGTCCAATTACAGTTATAAAAAACTTATTTGATAAGATATTCATAAAATATTTATCAATGCATATTATGTTCCTTTTTACTCATAAAATGGAGTAATTTTTAAATTTCAAAACGTGTCCTACTTTAAGTACTTCAGTACTTTAGGATTGTTAATCTCGGAATAATAAGATCATGTGGCATTTTAATAATAAATTTAAATAATTTATATTTTCTTTATTTTAAAATCGAAATGGCACAATTTTTTTACGTAAGGGGATACACTCAATTATCTGTGTAACAGTAGTAAAATTAATATTACTGTATTACTGTATTATGTGTATTATGCGGCTTGTTTTAATTCCGACAATTAACCACTACAGTCATTATGTATACCGATACAACTAGGTGAATATTCATCGATCCATCGGGGGAACCAAAAAGTTAAAGAATACGTACGTACACATGCTAGTAAGACCATTTGTAGACCCTACATGCAAAACGCAAGGTTGTTTCTCTTTAGAAATCTGCAGTAGAAAAAAATCTTCTGTAAAAAGGTTGCTAAACTAATATTATTGATATTATATACAGTATATATATACATATATATATATATACATATATATATATATATATATATATATATATATATAGTATATATATATTATACGAAAATAGGTAATTCCGATAAGAATTCACGATTTGCTCCGACTATGCATCTTAATTCTAAAAACAAGGTTCTCATTAATTAATTTGTTTGTTACATTCACAAGAAAAAACATAAAATCATTATACCTATCAATATTTAATTATAATTGTCTGGGTATTTATAAGTACTTAAGTGAAACTATTCATTTACCTTCGTTTTCATTTTTGGCTTATTCATTTTAAAACTCATCCTATTTACTATACAGCACCGTGAAACTCATTTATGCACGTATGTTGTAAGCACAAATTAAACAAGCATTGTTAAAAAGTTGGTAATTTTATTTTTCATTTATAACTGGTTTTGTGCCCGTACCTTCATTCCTGGCACTCTTTTTTTTCTTATTTTTGTTTTATCCTTCTTTTCTTCTTTTTTCTTCTTTTTTTCTTTTTTTTTTTTAATAGGAAAACATTCATAAATTGAAAAAAAAAACTTACATTATTACACATTACGTACGTACGTACGTCTTTCTAATTTCTTTTTTAAACTCGATGATTTGCATACCCCACGTAGTAACCTAAATAATCTATTTCGTGCCTTTGTATGACTGTGTCCTTATTAAAAAAAAAAAAAAAACATATAAACATAAACATACACATACACAATTGTATATATTACAGTAACATCCTAATATATCTTTTTCATCTCAGATTCTCAATCTTCTTTTTCTTTCTTTTTCTTTCCTGATAAATAATTGAGAATAATTGATATAAAAAACTTTCTTTTTTTCTTTATCGTTCATTTAACGTCAACGTTAAATCATTTTCCATTTTTTGACGGCATCAAAATTTATTGGATCTATTTCTGCATTACGACTTGCCATTTTTTCTTCAAACCTTTCGTCGATCACTTAAAACTAAACCAAATTTGTTATAAAAATCAGAATAGCCACATCCAACAAACTTGCAATCCGACTTGCTTTCCGAAATCTTTTTTCTTTCTTTTAATAATTTCTTTCTTTAATAATTTCTTTTAATAATTTCTTGGCTGGCAAAAAATAAAAAATAAAAAAAAAATATGAGTGATAGAGAATCTGAAGTTGAATTCGAAAATGAAACAATGTCAAGAAGTCTTGGTGATGACCAAATACAAAACGATAAGATTATATTAAATGTCGGTGGCATTAAGGTAATCAAAAATTTTTTTTATCTAAATATTCCATTTTTTTTTAATTTTAATACCTAAATAATCTTTGATTATAATAATAATAATATTATTATTAGTATGAAACTTATCGAACAACATTGACTGCTTATCCAGATACTCTTCTTGGTACAATGTTCCATCCTCGTAACAAAGAAATGCTTCATCCGACAAACGGAAATGAATATTTCATTGATCGAAGTGGCTACGCTTTTTATTATATTTTGGAATACTATCGTACCGGATCAATTATTTGGAGTCCAGCTTTAGAAACTTTAAGTGATTTTTCATCACCACCTCTTTCTACTATTATCCCTTGTTCACCTTCTATTTCATCATCGCATACAGAAGTTAATAACGCTACAGTTCCAACTGGTGCAGCTGCAGCTGTAATAGCATCTACTTCATCTTTTATTAATAAAAGTTATCATGTTAATCCATTTAACTCCCGATTTTCTCCTCCTCAGATTTCATATCCTTCACCACCAATTTCAGCAACATCATCACCACCAATTTCAACTCAATCACCGCCAATTTCATCATCTAATATAAGAAAAATTCATCCTTCAAATTCATCTAATTCAAATTCACATTCACATGTATTTCCACATATTTCACTTCCTGAACTTGAACAAGAATTTAATTATTTTCAAATTCCATTTACTTCTCAAGTTTCTGTAGCACAAAAAGCTGCAGGTGAACTTTTAGATTCTTTCGCTTATGCAATTGAAGAAGTCCTTTGTGCAAGTATTGCAAAATTAATAGATAGAATTTCTATAACTTTTTATCGTGATGGATCACAAATGGAATATTTACAATTTTCCCAAGAAGTTCATAAATTAAGAGAATTTTCTTTAAATGGTTATTGTATTATTAACCATTTTTATGAGGATATTAAAAAATATCTTGAAGAAATTTTTCCTAATATGAAAATTAAATTGGAATTTGGTGCTAATTATAAATGTTTAACAATAAGTATGAGTCATCTGTTCACTAGAAATACTATCAAAGAACATTCAAAAATTGGAAAATTAAACAAAAATTAGATTAAAAAAAAGTTTTTAATTAGTATATACATTATATAGTATATTTTAGTTATTCTGTTTAGTAGTTTAGTAGTTTAGTAAAACTTAGTAAAAAAAAAAAAAAAAATCATTAGTAAAAATTTGTGCATTTAGTAATTAGTATACATGCAGTAAATTTAGTTTAGTACGATTCATTCATGTTAATTCTTTTTTTTTTTTTTTTATCTTTTTTTTTTTCTTTTTGAAAGAGAAAAAAAAACTCCTTCTTGTAATACACCTTTAATAAAAAAAAAAAAAAAAAGTGAATAAAAAGTTTTATTGAATATTTTCAATCGATTAATACAAGATTATTTTTTAAATGATTAAGTAATATTAATTGCGTTTCGTGAATTGACAGTAGTGGTCTGTTATAGTTAAGACTTATTACAGTATTAAGACTTATAGTTTGTTCGTGAATCGACAGTAATGAAATCGATAGCTCGTGGATTCGTGGATCAATAGTGAGTTTAGTGTGGGGTTCACGTAAATAATGTTGAATTGTTTACGTTGAATGAATGTTGAATGCTCGGTATTAAACGCTCCGGAAACACGAGATCGCATATAAATATGCATATAATTAAAGATCTGTTTGAAACTAATGCTACACTCACTCCTTGCGGAACAAACCAGTGTTACAGGTTAGACCGGGTTAAGCGGACCGTGTAATGGAGCCACCAAGGGGAATGTCAAAAATGTCAAAAGCATAAATAAACGCAATAACGTTATCACAAAAAAAAAAGGTTTATTTTTAACTAGTAATAAGATAGGTGTTAAAGTTCTTTTGTACGTGTATAACAATAAAAAAAAATTTAAATTTTTTTTTTTTTTGTATAACTCATACATATAATATTTATTATCTGTTATCGTTATATGTGTACACTCTAAATTAATTTTAAACAAGTATTAAATGTTTATATCTTATTCATTTTAACCATAAAAGTAAAAAATATTTTTTCGTTTTACATAATATAGTAAATAACATTCATATAAACATTATAATTTAAAAAAAATACCTGCCGAATTTTTTTAAAAAAAAATAAACTTTTATTAAAAGAAAGATTATAAATCGATATTGCATAAACGGATAAACTTTATTAAATTAATAATCTTATGAAAAATAAACAAGTTAATCACTTGTTTTGTGCGCAACTATTAATATTTATACTAACTTAGATTTTTTTATAAGGTACGTACGTTTCTGGTATATTATCAGATATCGCGTGACTGGTCCGTACGTGTAAACACAACTACTAATTTATCCATATGTGCCAAAGGCGAAAAAAAATATATCTTATTCCTCAGTGAACGTATCGTATGAAGGAAGCTATTATTAATACTAATATACTATATCGAATTAATTTAAATATCATTTCTTTCAATTAATAATTTAAATGCATGTTGGCTAGAGTCAACTGATCGAAAAGACAGGGGAGAATGGTCAGGGGTTACATGCCATGTGCTACAACCTCGCCCTGATAACATGAGTTGGCGATCGGAATTTCATGCAAATACGCTACATAACTGAAAGCACCATAGTCAGTATTTAAAGAAGCGACAAATAACTTACTTGTGACACTCCCCTTTCAGCATTACCGTCTCTTTTTTCTCGACCCAATCCTTCCCACCACACATTGTAGTCTCTATTTTCCTATTAACAGCCGGCCTGCTTCGAGCAGCACGTTCTAATGTTATGATGATACCCGGCACAATCTCACTCGTTAATTTTCCCGGGAGCATATCATCGTTTCAGTTTCAAATTACTCACAATGTATTCTGCTGACTTAAAGTCCTTTAATTGAATTTATTTCTGGCACCTTTGACTTGCTGGCATTCTTCCAATCATATGACCAGTCATACCTATGCTTTTCGTCATTTTCAATATAACTCAATTTTGAACATGCTATAATACATCTTTATAGAATTAATTTTTGCGAATCTTCACGTAACGTAACTTTCAAAAACTGATTAGAAGCTAGCCACCTTAGTAAATTCGACAATAATTATTACAGTATAATTATTGATCAATTTCATTTATATCGTCTCTTTTACAATTTTTATTGAATAAGATAGATTAAAATGAAATGTAAAAAATAGACAAGCCACCGAAAAATAAATATTTTTGATGTGCATTTTTTAGGGTTAGCAAGTTAGTTTTAGGGTAGAGTTTATAATAAACAAGTATAAGTGGGTTAAATAGAATCCCTCATTTCATTTTATTAATCCAATTTCATTATGATCCGCGACGATCATTTAAAAACATATACATACTGTTACGGGTGTTCGATAATCTATACTCTAAAATATAGATTTTATATGAATGACGCCAAGGTAAAAATGGGACATTGGTTTATCATTTATTATTTAAATACTCAATTATAAACTAATGTCCCATATTCCCTTGGCGTCACTCATATGATATAAGGTAACTCGCCAAAAATTATTATCGAATTAATGAGTTTATGTGCCCCTACCTCGCACATAACAGATAAGTATCATAACCAACCTTATTAAACTACTTCCTTTTTTATACGATAAATTCCATAAATCATTTAAGCCAGTTTGTCTATGATGTCATTTTACCCCGTGATAATACCAGCTGTTAAACATTTGATCCTTTTTTGTGTGATGACGAAAGACGAAACATAAATCCGGTGAAAGGCAAAGGTGAAATTCTTGCAAAGTCCAAAATCTTTCTGATGAAAGATAGAACCCGTTGAAACCAAATTAAACCTTCTACAAAGGGATGATAAATTATTTTCACATCAAAGGACTTGGCTTATAACTCTAAAACTTACTAATTAGTTGTGGCTTTGGTTTATTTATCTGATATCTTTTGTGATTATGTAATGTTAATTTCAAATCATATATTTGCATAATTGATAAGTTATTTTATTTTAATTTTAGTTTCTGTAGTATTTTTTTAAATATTTTAACATCAATTAATTTAAACTTAATGAAATTTTAATATAGTATAAAAGAAAATATTTATAAATATAAAGTTTGATTAAAAATTAACAAAATAAAAATTTTATAGTTTAAATTTTTATGCTAATTTTTTTAATAACTATTGACCTAATTTAAGTAAATCTTTTTTTTGTTTTATAAAAAAATATTTTCTTTATAAAATAAAATAAAATTTTAAACCTTAATTACTAATTATTAAAATAATTAATTTTTTTTTACAATATTGAGAAAAACCGAATTTGGGTCAAAATCCCGAAAAACAGATCTCCGAAAGAACATAATACCGACAAAGTTAGCTGACACTAGCTATTTTTCTGGCCAATTTAGTCGATGTTATGTTCTTTCGATAATCTGTTGTTCGGTATTTTGACCCAAAAACACAAAAACCATATCTTTAAAATAAAAAATTGAATTATTTATATACCGTATGTTACCGAATAGAAGCTACCAATTTTCTCGGGCTAAATCGTGGGGTAGCTTCTATTCGGGTCTAATTTTACTATTAAAACATAATAATCTTCAGATTTTTGGATCCAAAATCGAGGGGTAGCTTTTATTCGGGGGTAGCTTCTATTCGGTAACATACGGTAAGTAAGTTTTTTAAAAAATTACTATTAATTAGATACTCACTTTTAATAACAATTTAAACTATTAGTTGTTTTAAATAATTTTATTACCAAAATAATCCTCTTAGTAAAAGAATTTCAATAAGATCTAATTTATTAAAATCTGGTTATTGGATTACAAAATATTTAAAATTTTGTAATTTTTTTTTAAATTTTAATAATTTTATAAATTATAAATATTTAATTTGGAAAAATTCAATATATATATATATATAATTTAAAATCAAGTAACAAATATAAATTTATAAGCATTCATTTTTTTGGCAAATCATTGAAAAAAATTTAAAAGGCTTACCATTTTGAAAATTGCAAACATTTGTGTTGGTATATTCAGGTTTCAAACACTTTCAATTATTAAAAAATTTTTGTCATTTTTAAGAAACTATATTTATTAAATATAAGTAATGCTAAATATTTAAACTATTGATAAAAAAATATATATAATTTGTAATTACCGTAAATGGCCGGATACAAGATCCCCCTAGATAGTAGACCCACCAGGTAGTATACCAGGATGCAGATCACAAAATATATATTAATTAAACCCGAGTTTTTTCAAATATCTGGACTACCTATTATAAATGCAAAATGTGTATGCTTTTCAAAGTTTTCTTCTTAGTGACATGAGCTCTCAGCTGCATACTAGACCCTGGGTCTATTATAGATTTTAAAATTGGTGGAATATAAGAGACCTGGGTCTTGTATCCGCCATTTACGGGGAATACATATTGATTTGAAATTTATCTTTTGTCGATTTAATAAACTGATGGAGCCAATGACTAGCAGTTTGACTAATAATATATAAACTATCTTCATCGTTATTAAATAAGAAATATTAACTGTGCTTAATTAATTTTTTATAATTTAAATAATTAAATGATAATTATATTTACTTGTTATATCAAAATGTTTTGATAAATTATTTAAAAACTTTCCTATATTGATCTATCAAAAAACATTATTTGATTTGTTAACAAGACTAAAGTTTGCTCAATTTTGAACGATCAGAGCAATTATTGGATGTGTAACGTATAATGGTTATGTTTTAAATAGTGCTTGGATCCATTCAAAAAATCTGGTGGATCTTCTATTAGATATCCGTTCATATCAGATAATGAAAATATATTTGCAGATAGTCGGATATTTATTAAACTATCCCCGATACTTCAATTAATAATAATGATGCATTAATATTGGCATGAATGAATAAATGTGTATTTTTGGATATTTATTAAAACTATCTGATACTTCAATTAATAATGATAAATAAACGACATATTTTATACGTAACATTGAATAGACTATTTATTTAGCGAAATCAAGCGAAATTTCTCTGAGTTGCTCGAATAATAATATTTTTACTATTTATTAGCATTATTTTTCAGAATTATA